CTGCTCGGTCCCTTAATTGTTTTTATTTCGAAAGTATGTCTACATATGCACCCTTGTATCCAGTATGTGTATGGATGTATGTACACACATATCTATGTAGCTCACTCCTCTTGTCTTTATTTTAAGCGGAAACACAAACGCCGACAAACTCTCCACCTCTCTATGAGTGAGAGTTCATTTCCGTTTTCTGTGCTCATCCGCTCTTGAAATGCTTTTTTTTTGCTGCGCAATCGGTTAGCGCAAAATCAATATATGTATGTAAATGAATTTCCAAATTTGCAAATTAAGAGTTTTAAAGTGTCTCATCTTCATTCTAACTCTTTCCAAAGTGAGGACCTGGAAAAATAAATTTTTGGAAATCGCATATGAGCTGCGATGTACCGAGAGTGTAGGTTAATTTTCAGTATTCAGGAGACTTTTGCCGCGGAAATATTTAAGTTCGTATGGTGTGTGAGTTTAGTCCGATAAGCCGGAAAATATTGTGCAAAAGTGTTAAAATAATTAATTTAATTGTATTCAAATGCGCAAAAGCATTAAAAGTGCAAGTATGTAGTAATAAAAAATATAAATAGTGCGATTTTATTTCATTGCTGCTAAGAAATTATGTGAAAAAGTGAAATTCGTGTGTTCACCATGAAGAAATGGGAAGCCATCTGGTGGTCGTGTAGCGTGGGTTCGGTAACGTACATACATATCTACATATACATATATGTATGTATGTTGGAGAATTTCATATAATTTGCACCGTGTCATTCGGCTAGTGGAATAATATGATTGAGTTGTTAAATACCAGAAACCAAGCAATGAATAAAAAAAAGGTAAGTACGATTGAATTTGGTAAGTAAGAACATACTTTTACATTACGCACATACATATGTATGTATGTACATATTTATAAATGTAACTGTGAGAGCCAGAGTGTCCAGATTTGTCGATTGCGCGCCAATTTGGCGTTTTTTTTTTTGATATTTGCGCGTAAAAATTTAGGAAATCACCATTGGCGATTTTTGGCGATTTTTCCTCTTCAAATAAACTTTTTCCAATTATAAAAATATACGAAACTTAATTTTCCATGATAATTTTACAGAAGAGGCTAATGAACTGCGTGATAAACATGACTTAAGAAGTATATTAGAAGACTGTCAACAATGTTTAATTACCCTAATCGAAGAACTTCTGAAACGATTACCTAATCAATTAAATACTTTAAAAAAANTATATTAGAAGACTGTCAACAATGTTTAATTACCCTAATCGAAGAACTTCTGAAACGATTACCTAATCAATTAAATACTTTAAAAAAACCCTTTAATATTGTCGCCAGAAAAGTGTGTGAATCACAAGAGGGCGAGTTTCAGGGATCTGCCGATTCACTATTTGACTTTGAAGGAAAGAAAAGCAGCTGAAAATGAATATTTAAATCTCTTAACTTTCCCATGGAATAACTTTTGTTCGGAACCATTCCATCCGACTCTGAAGGGTTTCGGATAATTGCTTACGGAGTGAAAACCGCAACAGGCAATCAAATGTTTGGAGATGTAAGTAAATTCAAATTTTGTGTCCTTGCCGCACTCACATGCTTTGTTGAGCGCGTTTTTACCGTAATGAATTCAACAAAAACTAAGACTCGAAATAGGATGAGGTTGTAAAGCCTTAATTCAATATGTAAATCATTCAGACACTATAGGTAATTTTGAAGAAATTGTGAAAATAGCTGATCTCGCCTTATTATAGCTTTTTATTTAATTTTTAGCGCCGAGCACTTAAAAGCGCATTGTGCCATTAATCAATTAATATGAGTTATAATTAATTTAATAATTGCGCAGTCCTATTGCAAAATGTGTTGAAACAAATATTTTTAAAAAGTATGTCGTTTTGGGTTTTAAAAACTATATTATAACAAGATCTCATTTTTAAAATGAAAGACTTGTTAAATCGATTTCATGAATTTTATAAAAACCCCCCCTAAAATATATTCCTGGGTGCGCCCCTGATGTACATATTTATAAATGTAACTGTGAAAGCACATACTTGTACATGTATATGTATCAGCACAGACATACATATTTGCGCGAATAAATAAATAAATAAAATTAAAATAAATTAAAATAAAAAAATAAATAATATAGAGTTAAATAAAATTGAAAAGTAAAGTTATATATAAATAATTGTTAAACAAGCAAGTGCTTTTTAAGCAAGAACAACAACCGTCTTCAATGCTGATATAAAAAATGTGGATTAGTTTTAGTTTTTTTACGGTCCAATGATTGGAACTAGGGTGTTCGATTATTCGCCTTCTTTCCGAAACCGGTTTTCGAGTTATTCGCAAATTTGCAATTTGAAAAAATCGGTTCCCGATTTTTAAATTAAGGAAAAACCGGCTTATTTTACAAAGTTTTCTTGAGGTGAAAATGCTTATGTTCTGTTTGAAGTCATCACTAAAAATTACAATAAAACTATTAACAGTAAAGATAACTTTTATTTGAAAAAAGAGCAAAGCAAAATAAGTTCAAAGTTTTTTCCAGATCAAAAGTGAAACAAACAAAATTACGCTTGGACTTATTTTAACTTTTTTCATAACTTATTGCATTTTTTTTTTTTGAACTTTTTTTTAAATAATATGATTTGGAGTAAATCTAGTTGTTTTTAGAGTTTTTTGAATTACTGCAGCTTGTTTAAATTTTCTTTTACAACCCCAAGTGTGAAATGTTACGTGACGTGGCGTGACGTGACATAAATTTCCATCGTTATATTTTTGTTAGTACTTATTGCTTTTAAATGAATTTTTAACGCAAACAAAACAAATATTTTATGTTGAATATAGTTTATATTTTGACCTCAGCGCCAATTCTGGGTAAATTTTTTGGGAAATCTATGATTTATTATGTTTCAACGTTTTACTACGTTACAACGTTTACGTACTCAAATTCGAACCAAATCGAATCCAAATATCTCGACCCTGGCGCCACCCAGCAAGATCATTTTACGCAAGAATGCTTCTACTAACATAGCCAGTGTATATTTAAGAAAGCAGACAAATTGGCCCATAAATACATTAGATAACCATATGACTTTTATGATAATTTTTTTTTTTTTTGTTGAGGTAGATATGCAATTTGGTTCATCCCCAAATAACATAGGATATAATTTTAAAACTATATAACGGTTTCCCTTAAACTGGAAAAAGGCTTCCGAAAAACTAAAAACTTTTATTGAGAGGTCAAGAATTGTACGAAACGAAAAAACCCGGTTTATTCGATATTCGCAAAATCAAGACTTGGTCGTCAATTTCTTCTACATTTTTCCCATTTGCAACAAGAAGTACTTTACAATATTTTTTTTACATTTTAAGTGAAAAGTGTGTTATTATAGAATTTACAAGGTGTTATACCTGAGTTCCCTAGAATAGTCCCAACAAGTTTTTTTTTATCCACAAAACACAAAAACCATTTCCTCATCGTGGATCACAAAAATGTATACCTTGTTTATACCTACGCAAGAACAACATTAAGAAAAACCAATTTGATTTAACTCATATTTCTTTCAAGCGTTTATACCTGTGTCTTTACAGCGCACTCGCTTAAACCGTATTCAAAATTATACTAAATTTGTTGTTTTATTTTGATATTTCTTTAATAATGGATTTGCGCTATTAACCGAAATGGAAGCGAACAATAACTCAAATTTATTTTAATAATAATTCAAATTCAAAACGGGCTGTATAAAAACAAAACAGCCTATTTTCACTTCGCGTCGAATGAGTGATATGTTCGTACCTGTTTTCTAACCGCAACAAGGCCCTGAAGTCGCTCCCCGCAGAACCATAGGCAAAGGACAAAGAAATGCTGCTGGCAACATACAAGGCAATCGGCCGGCCGGTTCTAAACTATTCTGCGCCTGTTTGGTCGCCGGGGACTAGTTGGGCGCAGTGGACGAAGCTACAGACTTGTCAGAACTCCACACTCCGGACAGCAATAAGGCGCCTTCTGATATCGCCTGAGCACCACCTGCACAGCGAGGCCCAAATGCTTCCCGTAAGGGAGCACAACAAAATGCTCTGCATGCAGTTTCTGACGTGAACACCCCAATAGTCCCTCGTGAGAGGAGGAGCCTCCGACAAGGCACGTCAGGGCACGGTCCAGACTTACATCGACCCACCATTGGACCCGACGACGTACCGACGAGAGTAAACGAAGATGTGCACAACCAGTGTCTGGCATGCGGAGAGTCGCCACATGACTCATGCCACCTCTTCGCATGCTCCCAAAACCCCACCCAGCTAACGCTCCTGTCTCTTTGGACAGCCCCTGTCAAAGTTGCGCACTTCCTGGGCCTCCCCCTAGCTAAACCAGACTACAACGCAGATGCGTGAACCGATCTACGGCATTCATAGGGAGCCGGTCACCACTTACCACGCCTCCCGGCCCATGAATGCCCTGATCGGATCCCAATCACCACCCTAGTAAGAAATGGAGCTTCAGAAAATTTTTTTATAATTTTCACATAACTCTAAAATTTCAACTCAATTTTTATACGAAATATAAAAATTAATCAATAAATTTTTAACAAGGTACATCATAAATTTCAAAAGTCCGAATATTAATATTTGCTAAAGTATTATGCAATGGAAAAATAATTTGGTAAATTTTTTGCATAAATCAATCTGTAGGTATTTTCTCAAATTAATGAAAATATTGTTTTCTTCATGATTATATTCTCTAACGAGAAAANATTGCGTAACTATCCACTAGCACTTATATTTCCCGAACTAATTTTTGAGTTGTGCCTCTTTTGATGACGGTGTGCGATATGTATACCCAATAAAAACATGAATTGGAAAATCTACCAAACCTTATTCAAATCTACAAAATTTTTGCCGATTCTACCACACTAAAATACAATGGACTTTGCACACTGGTCGAATTGAGATCTGGCAGCTTTGTTTGAATAGTTACAGTGCACATCAAACTGTCGCTTCTTTGACATGTTAAAAGTGACAACTCTTTAAACGAATTTGTTTGACAGCTTCAATTTTCTTGTAAACAGAAAAGCTCTATATGTGTTTTTAGAAAATTATGGAACGTATTGTTTCTGGTATAGCAAAAATTAATTTTCAGCAAAATTGCGAAGATATTTTGGTGGAAAATCGGTAAGTAACTATCGAAAGAAATGTATTCGCATATACATAAATTAGATCTGATGTCGTCCATAATTTGTAGTAAGGAAAACATGGCCGCTCGGACATATGAAATATCTGAGGCAGGTAGTGCGCTAAACGATACCACTAAATCCAATGAAAGCACAGCAGATAGTAGTGATTTTGAATCGGAATTCAATAGTTCTAGCGAAACTGCTATTGTAGGCGATGATGATGCAGATAGCTGTTGCAGTTCCAGCGCTGCCGGAGGGAGTCTTTCACAGCGTCGCAATTTACCGCGCCGTGCTTGCAAGGAGAACAGCTTAAAACTAAAGCGCCGGTCCATAATGAAACCAAAACGTCACACATCCAGATCTTGTGATTTCTCTATGCTCCGTCCGGCTCAAATCAAAAAAATTTACTGCAATCAAAAACTGACTAGTTTTCACCCCGCCAAATTGGAGACAATTTTCGAAGAGCCGCAAGCAGAACCTCGCCGTGGCGAAGCTGCGCCAGCGTCCAGCACAGGTTTGCGTTTTATTGGCCTGAGAAAAATACGTCGTTCACTCTCTTGTTCCGATGGTCTAAATACAACTAAGACGTTGATAAAACAAAGACGTGCCAAAATTAGGAAAATTTTCGGAAAAACACACCTACACAAGAAGATAGCATTAAATGACTTCATTGATAAGTTGAACAGGAGTTTCGCTGATGATGCGGATGTGGAAGATGCCACTATAGATGCTGATGAAAGCAGTACACTGGAAGAGGCAATGGAAGCAGAGATGTCTGCAACAGCTCTTACGGTTCCAGTAACTGAGAACCTACATAATAGTACAATGTATGAAAATTCAACTTCATTAACAAAGACTGATTTCGAAATGCATTTAGAAACGGATGTGGGAAACGTGAACGAATTTAATAAGAAAAATGAGGGCGATTCACTATATTTAGGTTCAAATAAATTTGGTACATTATCATATTCGTCAGATACGGCAGAAATTGGTTTGGGTGCTGCAACAGTAAAAGCAAATTGCTTGGAAGGCATACGTTAGTGATAAGATATATATATGTACATATTAATACGAGTGATCTATATATTAATTATGTGGACGGTAATTAGAACTATTCCAGCACTAAAAGATCACCGCGTACAAGATTTATTTTTTAACTACATGATTTTTTTATATAACTTCGTGGCACTATTAGTTTTAAATATCTATTCATATATGTACATTTTGTGGCACTATTAGTTTTTAATATATGTATATTTATGTTTGTAGGTATTAAAAAGCCGATTATGGATATCAACGCAAGCAACCTCAGTTGAGTTGTATTTTAAATATAAACTATTGTCAAGTGCTATAAAATTATAGATAATAGTAATATGAGGAAAAAGGCATTCTGAAATGAGTGCGAGCGATGTGCAGAAATAGCAGGAGAAGTACTAATTTCCACAATAACTACAAAATTCAGTTGCCTCCCGTAATATGATTTCGGCCACTAGAACTCAACTGAAGTTTCTCATGCATAATTTCACATTCCCCTCATTGCTTTCAACAATTTTTGTACCATTTAAATTTTAAGATTTTGAAAATAGTTATTGATAGGTATTTGTGCCTGAATATATGTATGTAAAAATGTCCGGTAAAATTATATACTCTGTTAAAAAAAAAAAATCGAATTTGTTTTTCCGATAGAGCATATACAATAATTTCACAAACCCCAACAACTAGCCATACGGATCTAGAATTTCATGAATTGCTTATAATATTTTCTAGTGGACACAAAAAATATAAATAAATACACTCAAGCGTTTTATACGCTATTTTATATATGTATGTAAAAATGTGCAAGCATAAAAATTCTCTTTTTGTGTTTCAGGGGAACCAAAGGGAGGAGATGTCGCTCGATGGTTAGCATAATGTGGAAAACCTACAGATTCCCGACATTCGTTAGGATTAGGATGATTTTAACATCCGAAATTTTGCAGACTGATTCCATTAGAGCAATAATAAAGTAACTGATGCTTTTGCTCTGAAATACGTGGTGGTTGAACTTCGATATCGGCATCTATGGGCGAAAGGTCGTGGAGATGGTAATCATGGCTATCACAAAATCCATCGTAGTCCGATTTTTTGTGAAAGCCACGTAATGCTATCACATTTTCCATGTATTCTCAGCTGAGATAAGGCGTTCTTCAACCCAATTCTGCGATAGGGTTTTTCAAAAAAATTCTGAAATAGGGCGATCTTTATTCAAATTCTGAACTACGCCGTTCTTGAAAAATTTTCTGAAATAGGTCGTATTTAAAGTGGCTGCCGAGATAGGTCGATCTTCCACTCAAATGAAAGGTTTTTATACATACCAAATAAGACTAAAAGGACTACTTCAGAAAAATTACCAATTCAACTACTTCCCCTAGCTTCCTTCGAAGGGATTTTTGCCCTAGACACGCCCTAATAGCAGTATAAATTGTGTTTTCTTAATAACTATATTCATTATAACCAAATTGAAGGCACAAAATCCTAACTTGTAAAGTTTTAGTTTTAACAGTAACTACCCAGTAGATAATTTCTGGAGTTAAAAGCCCTTCCGAAAGGCCTTCCTAAGAGTCAAGAGGCCTCCCTCTCCACATTCCTTTCTTCTTTCTTTTTTGTATGGAGTGGCACAAATTGAAGGGCTTCTTCTTTTACTACCCATGGAAGGCCTTCCAGAAGCTCTTTTATAGAACGTACTTCAGAAGGCCTTTTGGAGGTGTTCTTTTAAAGGTGTTCCTTTAATTTATAAAAATCATACATCTTTGAAGTATTTGCTTAAGGTTTATATCAAATATGTATGTGTTATTGCAACTTAATATGTTTATTGAAATTCATTTGTAATCAACAATTTATATTGAGCTCGAGGCCGTTTTTTAAATGAAAATTTATTGTCTACCATTTTTTCAAATTATTGTTGCTTTTCCACAATAAATTTTCATTTAAAAAACGGCCTCAAGCTGAATATAAATTGTTGAATATAATTGTTATAAGGCCAAAAAAATAACAAAAACAAATAACTTAAGGACGAGCACACTTAAAAGTTAAACATTCTAAAAATAGAATTATTAGCAAAAACCAACAATACCAACAACCACATGATCAAGTGAATTGCAGCGGAATAGCTGCGCTTGATT